GTTTAATGCTCTGGATGTTGCAGTTTGTAATTAGAGGCGCATAGGACAACAGTGTGTTTTAAATGTACACTTCATCATTTCCTTAGAGTCAAATGCATGCATTATCACATTAGATTTCTGAGTTCAATTACTTAAAGATTTTTCTGTTTTCAAGAATACATTTTACATTTACCCAACTTAATTCCTGACAAAATATTCGATAATTAGTTATCATGACCTCGTTGCTTTGGAGAATCATAACTATGCATCTCCTGTTTCAGCTTGACCCACCGGGAATTCACCTTATAACCAGGTCAAAAGGAATAAGTTATAACTCCCCAAATTTACTGCGTTGAAATGGGTTCTTACCACTTCCCCATGTAATTTGATAGGTCGTGCAGTTTCAATGATTCAAATTTTAATTACCCATGATATGCACACATAACCGAAAAAGAAGCCTTCGAATTCAACAAAGTAATTTAATTACAGTGCAAATAGCGTTTGGAGGAATCTTTCCAAACAACTTCATAATTCTTCGTTCGACTTAACTTGCAGTGGAGGCGATTCCTGCCTTCTGGCAGCCATGTCGGTTAAGCAACAATAATTCTTAGACCTATTTAACCTTCAACGTCCGGTTTATTTTTGACAAGTACACCCAACCGCACTCACGCGTGACTCTCAACAGACTGATGCTATTGACGTGATGCGTTTTGGTGGTGTATCAAGCAAAGGTTATAAACAAGTATTGAACATGTTTCAAATGGCAATAGCACCTTCCATTACGAGTCTAGCACCAATGAAAGCTTATTTTGAAAGAGAATCGTGCGGTCATAAGGGCGCTGAAGGGTTAAAAGAAATATCTGCCTATGCACAACCTTGGTCTAGGGGATAGCATTAATGAGCCTCACTGTTGAGAAACTCTATTTCAGTATAGCTTGTTATTTGTCAAGCTTAATCAATGGAGTTGGTCATTATGCTCGCTAGTCAACCAACGTAAGTTGGCAATACTATTAGGATTAAAACACGAGAAAGCAAAATAACAGCAAGAGGAGCAAAATGTGGACCAACGTTAAAGTGTCAAAAGCCCTACTTCATTTAATTTGTGAACTCAAGTTGCGCACCAATTACTCAATGAACAGTTCATGTTCCAACATACAATTTTTGATTCATTCCCAACGAATACATATTAAAGTTATTCCCTACCTATTCGGGCATAATTTCATAAAAAATAGGCTTCAATTTACCTTTTTTTCCAATGCTTAAGTAGATAAAGGAGTTATGTTATGGATTGAATAGACTGTACTTGTTCGATGCATTTCAATCTAACATAACCCTTCTTCTAGTATTCTCTATTAGATGAGTATTCAACGCCTAATTTCGCACCCAATTTTTTTGCCCGCAACACAGACTTATAACCAGGTTAGTGTGTTGAAATTATAGAAAATACTTAATGGCACCTTCATTCAAGCGAATGATCAAATTCATAGATGGTCTCAATCCCATTTTGACCATTGTTGTTCAAGATAGTGAAATTTTATCCAAAGATATACAAGACTAAATTTATTACCACATTAAATAAACTTTATAAACAGTAGTGGCAAAAAATTAACGAACTCATCTGCGAAGTTAGAGACTATGGGGCCAATGCACTTGTTTAATTTTGGCTAATTATTTAATGCTATCATCCCTTAGCACATTGCTAACAGTTTTTCAAATTTCAAGAAATTTTCAAAGTATTTTGAAGCGGAAATCCAATTATTTGGACACTATTGTGGTGATGGGATATAATTAATTTATATCAAATGACATGTTTTAGGGTAGATTTCATTAGCCTTCAAAGAGGGGAGGGGGGGACATCAAAGTCACAAAAAAGTGGAGAGGAGGAAGAGAAGAGTGATTCATAGATGTAAACGAGACAGACACGAAGGTAGAGAAGAAGGTAAGGTGAAGTGAGAGCTGTAGAAATTGTCGAAAATGACATACAGCGGGATCATGAAAGTTTGATGTCAACGCCGGTTTATAGACTTTTTTGCCGTATGAGCATACGTTGCCCAGGTGCACCACGTGGAGGTAAGTCTATCGCACACCCCACTCTGTGAATAAAGAAGCGTCTTTTTTTAATAGAGAAAAAAATAATGGGTGAGCCTGTACGTTTTGGTGTCTAAATTTGTCTCTGGCTCAATTAGGTTAAGCTTTTTTTGGGGCGAAGAACAGACCCTTAATGGAATAAGCGTGTTTTATTCAAATTCTGGGACATCTTTGGAATTGGTCAAATTTTCGTTCATTTAAAAAAACGTGCATAATAGTAAGATTTGGTAAAAGTTACTAGTTATGGCAAGATTCCTTTTACTAAGGTATTTAATCCTCTTCTCAACGCTTCCGATGGCTAAACGGATGTGCTGAGGGTTTTGAAATGTGTCCGGTTCTTGATAACCTTGTGAACGGTTTAAAGTATCTGACTAATGAAAATTGAAATCATAAAGGCTATTTCGTTATCTTTAAAGCGTAGTGATTATAGGCTTCAAATTTCATCACGAACGGCTATTCTTTGTCCATTCTACAGCGAATGAACATTGGTCTACGTGCCTTCTTGTTGATTGCTCATGGACTTCAGCAGAAAGATGGGGAGCCACCAATGCCACAGAATCAATCCGTGGGGGTTTGTGGAGTGTATCCCACTGTGCATCTCCAAAGAGGTTTTTTACCTGCTTGTTCAACAGGCGTTGTTCGAAGATCTTTCCACGGAACCACACTGGATGATACTTTATGTGAACGTCTCGGAATTCGTCCTTATCTTGTCCCAGTACGAAAGGCATTCGAGGCCATCTTGAGACTTCTTGAGCCCCAAATCATCCGTTCGATGATGCCCCCAAAACAGGGTGCTGCTATTAAAGATGGGGATGATTCTGCACCGTTAGTTCATTTTCTTTTTGGTTTTAATCTTATCGTGACGTTTTGTGTTAAAATAACCTTGCATTGCCATTGGTGCAATCTATCTCTATATGGGGTACCCACTTTTACTCAAATCCTGTTGTAAAATGTTGAAGAATTGTGTCTTAAATGACGACTTTATAGCTATGAGAGTACTGCTGTTTAAGAAATCTTTGTATTTGTGTGAAATCTAGTGGTAGAAGAAACCTTATTTCAAGCAATATACTGACATTATAATTTTTCGAATGCCTGTGTGTGTGTGTGTGAAACAATCCCCTCCCAGTTGATAGAACCAGGCAAAGCCTTTACAATTGAATATGATTGTTGTTAACCATTGTGAAAACTAAATCGGAATATACATGATGAGCCTCTCGCGCATAACAATCGATCACTGTTTCAAATCACAAGGCCACGGGTAGAGAGTAAACTGCATATTTATTATGTACAATGGCAATGGAAATTAGGGTGAGAGTAAGACTGAAAGACAGAGAAAAGAACGTTGTCGTTCGCTCTAGAAACGATCTTCTGCACCATTAGTTTTGTTGTAGGTGAAATCTAAATTTTGGGAAAGGTGGAGAGTGCAAATCGTGATTCAATATTCTCCAATTATGTAGATTGAAAGCTGTTAGGACAAATGAAAAAAAATGAAGGCAGGAATTTTATTAAAATAATTTAATTAACATTTTGAGAAACTTTTCGGGGAACCCTTTAATATTGCCAGATTTGACATTCTAGAGTCAGCACTAATGACTTTGGTCGCTGTTTCCTTTACTGAGATGTTTGTAATAGAAATAATTAACATCCAGTTAACTCCCATAGTGTGATCGATTCGTTTGTCCAAAAATCTCTTCCGATAATTAGTCAATTTATTTTAATTTGGAGTCATCAAACCGATTCGGTTTCTCGTTATGATTAAGTAAAATAGCTTTAGTTTTTCTTAATTTGTGAACATTTTTTTACATGATTCTACTTCATTAGAAGGGAACAACCAACCGTAGAGGAACGAAATGAACAGCCTTTAAATAGGTGAATTTTCACTTTAGAATAGATAACGGAGTCGATACAGTATTCCAAGTGGTGATTTTGCACAAATCTCGATTGAGTATGCATTCTTATTTT